AAGAAGTAGCGCAATAACTCCGTATGGCATCAGCACAACGAGAATGGCAAAATCTCTCGCACCGGCCGGAATCCAGAACAACATCAGAAGGTGGTACTCCCCAACCAGCAACGGCAGCAGCACCAGCAGCCTTCACCCAGCGCGGGATCGCCAAGCTGGCAAGCCTGGATGCAGGAAGCAGGCAAAGACACTCATCTCCCCTGCTTGTTCATCGTACTTTCGCCGAGGTCCCCTCCGACGCTTGATGTCATGCAGAAACGCCCTTGTCGTTCTTGCCGGGGACTTTTTCCTGGTCCATTGGGAAAAGGTTGCGTTGCCTGGCTGACTGGAGGCGTGTTTCTTCTCGGAACTCTGAAAGGCTCGCGCGGAGCTCAAACATGATATCCGCTGCAGGCCATATTCGAGGTCGTAAGCGGCGGCCAGGGTGCTGGATCGAGATGAATCGACAGAGACATGAAGGTACCCTAGGGTTACCTTCGCATCTCAAGGCCGAGGGGGGTACTTGCTTGGCCACCGGCCTTGGAACCGACGATCACAACATTCTGACCGGCCTAAACTGCGCGTCCATGAGCCCGAAATTCTCACTCAATCACCGTGAAGTCTTGGGAGGCGTTGGAAAGGGTTCTTCGACGAAAAGCTTGCGAAGTATCGGCAGGGGTGCATGAGGTGAAGGGGGGAGGCAGTGGGGGGCCAGGATGGCCTGGCTTGCGAGGTACGAGATACATCGAGGAGAAGACTGGGAGTGAACGAGCGAGAGTCTTTGGCACTTTGCCCATGCCATGGCATGCCCTGCTGCCCTGTCTGGCTGAGCATCCAGGACGATTCTGGGTAATGCGTATGCGTATGCATCTCTCGAGGTCGCGGAAGCTATTGTCTTGGCGGAGGAATTCACGAAGTCGGAATGGGGCGACGTTTTGTGTCGAAGCGCAGCAGAAGGAAAGAAGTCTACCGAAAAGGGGGTTGTGATGAGATGATTGGCGAGAGGAACGAGACGATGGAAGACTGGAAGGACGCTTTTCGACGCATCGATGCTCGGCCAGCGTTGCTTTGCCTTGCTTTGTTTGCTCTGCTCTGCTTTCCTCCCCGCGCGGCCACAGCCCAAAAAAAACGATGCATATGCACATGTCATGCATATGCAACACGACGAGCGGACACCGAGGCCCCGGTCGGCCGGCGACCCCACCCCCGCTCAATGCAAGTCTCAGTCTGTGCGCTGGCGAGGCCTGTTAATTGCATTGCACTGTATCCGTACTCGAATGGCGGGTGAGGTGGGTGGTATTGCATTGCATGCATCAAGGCGGGGTTCTTCTGCCCCGTCTTTGCTTCTTTTCGTTGTTCCACTTCTTCCGCTCAACAACCACACCTCCCCCCTTCCCTTTACGAATATTTCACGCCCCTCCACCACCAGCCCCCCTGTCTCTTCAATCACCCACCACCCCAGCTTTCGTTCTTTTGGGTGCGAGTCCATCAATGGCTTTCCGGTCCGTCCTCCACGATCCCCCCGTCTGCGCTACCATCGTCCACCATTAGCCATACCGATCCAAACTGCTAAGCCACAACCTGCCCCTTGCACTGGGCGGCATACACGTGGTGGAGAACGGCGCCAACCGCCGGCTGTTTCTCAGACGCCCTCCGCTGCCCTTTTCGTCCCTTCCACGGCCCTTGAGATGACGAACGACAAAACGGCTGCCAAGATCTCGTTCATCTCATCGGTCCCGAGCCCGGCACAACTGGCGCGACGCCACAGGGGACACTCGTCGTACGTACGCGGCCCCTATTGAGCACATCATCCCGTCATCTCGTGTCAAGCCACAGCGGTTCTGCCTAGCCCTGCGCACCGTTATTTCTTGCTGCTTCTTGGGCCAGCGTCTGGCTCGAGCAGATGTCGTGGCATGACGCTCCATTGAAACAAGCAACGATGAAGCTCAAAGTGGTAGAGCAATACGGGAAGAAGTTGACTCGACGGCGCGGAACCCCGCATCCACCGGAATAGCATCAAATCCCGTTCAGCTGGTTTCAGCTGCCGCAATTTTTCTCTACAGGGGCTCGAATACCGAGAAAACGATGTTCCGTCGAGCTTGGCCGGCGAAGGACGGCGGTGACGGCGACAGCGAGCTCGACAGGCGACATCAGTAACGGTTTCCGCTTTCTCACCATAATGATGTAGCATTTGCCGACCTTTCTCAGACACCAGAGACGCGACACTTCCAGGCGAGGCGCACCACCAGGCTCCTAGTGCACGAATTGCACTGACAAACTAGTTCTCTGCGGCCTGAAGGCGTCTTTAGAATGACCTAAGCACCTGGATTTGCCTCTTCTCGCAGTGTGTGTCCTCGACAACGGCATGATTGGTGGGACTTCGTGCCTTCGTTGTGAGTTGGCGAACCACAAGCTGGGAAACCAAGGCCTCTACACTGGCGCCATCTGCACAGCAAATGCGAGATGCAATACAATATTTAGAACTATAGCGCGACAGCGCGCATCGAGCACGGGTATTGGAGCCGCAGCCCTGCCAAGTTGGTGCCAAGTTGTGCCAGTAATGCAGAGAAGACGAGGTGCATCTTGTTGTTTGTATGACGCCGGGGACGCCATTGGCCGAAGCCATCATAGCACCGCTTCGGTCTCATGACTTGTCCTCCTCCGTCTTTTGGTAATACGAGAAACCCAATCCCACGAGGCTGCGTCACTTTACTCGACTAATTCCACTTTGTGGACTTGTCCAACCGAAGATGACTTTAATATTCCGACTAGTGCTGGCGGGCACTTTCCCCCAAGGCAAAGAAATCATCCGACCAGAAGCCCACTAGAGAGGTTGGTGTGCGGGGAGTAGGATCAATTGCTGACGGCATGAAGAACATTGGAGCAGATTTGCCATCCTGGGTCTTGTCCCAAAGCCTTCAACTTGTTGCTCCTTGGTTGTTGAATGACAGCTAGTGTCGAGAGAGAGAGAGAGAGTACGTTGCGGAGCGTTGCGAAGGAGAGACAATTGGCGCGGGCGCTATGCCTCTCGGAACCAAAAAGAAAAACCGCGAGAGTCAATCGAGTCGAACGGGACGTGTAAGTCCCGAGGCGGTCAACTTGTTGCTGAAGCCGGTCCTCGGAGCTTCCATCGCTGGTTACCAGATCCTCGGAGTCGACCAGCGACGGGCGCTTCCGAAAGTGCCAGCGGCGCCCAACCCGACCAGAGGAACAAAGATACCACCGGCCTGGCGCTTGCACTTCTAGTTGCGGTGTCACTTGCTCTCCCTTGATCGGCAACAGCACTCATCCACAAGGACAACATTTGAGACAAGGAGAACGACAACTGTTCCCCAGCCTCCAAGGCCGTATTTCGATTTCTGTCAACCTCCTCCATTTTCATCTCGCTGGGCACTACGCGGGGCAACAATACAATCCGAAAAGAGACTTGCGATGTGAGGGTTCGTTGGCGTGCCTCTTGGCCACAATGCTCAAGCCCCAAAGCACCCCGGTCCCTCCCGCTAAGCCTGTCCTGGCCCCGCGAACCACGCTCGGATAGTTGAATGACATATCGACAAGGGCACACAGCTTATGACCAGGGGGATTTCTCGAACTTCATCCACCCGGCCAACAGCCGGTTACATCCCAGGTACTGGTCGCTGATCTACCTCTGGGTCTTCCCCTGTTCTCTTGCAAGCACTGCAAGCACATCATTAATCAATCACCAGCGCACAACGGGCAGCTGCCGTGGATCTTTTTTTTGGCTGGTTGGCCTGGGCAAGCTGGGGGAACACCACCACCAGCCTGCTCACACACTCGCTCACTCAGCTTCTGCAAGCCTGCAAGGTCCCAATCTGTACCGTCTCACTCAGCCCATTCCATATTGACTGAAAATTTTTCTTCCTTTTATTCGTTAGCCTGCCAACACACCATGCTCACCTGCAGTTGGACTCGTACCCAGCTTTAGTTGCGGATCCCAGCCTTTAGTCGGGCACGTCGGGGTCATCACCGGGAGGATCCCAATATGGGCTTCTCTGCAACTTGATGCATGGTTGGCGATTCTCGGTTTCTGAACGGTTCACAGCTTTTGGACTTGATGTGGCCATTTGTGGGCATCTGCTGGTAGCCTGGCCTGTCATTGTCAGTCACATCAGGCCCCTCCAATGCCAGAACCGGATATACGGCTCCAACAACGTGGACAACGACGTAGCGCGAGGTCGTAATGCTGAACAATGGAGCATTACCACACGACTTGGAGGGGCAACGCCTCGTATCGCGAGGGTCGGGACGCCAGCCTTCCTTTGGCAAGTGCCGTCTGTCCCGTCTGACCAGATCTTGAGCTCAAATATTGAGATTATATGCACATGGCCAGCGCCATGGACCAGCTGCCAAGCGGTACCGCCTCCATCAGCCAGCCCTCTGCTCTCTTTATCCCCATCTCGAAGTACTGGACTCAGGTCGGCGTCCTTGGCAGAACCGGCGTGTAAAATCCAACTTCTCGGCGTGGTCGACGAACAGTTATTGCCCGGCACGCATCTTTTTGTAAATACCGCTCTCTGCCGTCCTCAAACAACCCGTGAACTCTATTGCAATCTCGCCCGCAGTGTCGATCGACCGGAATCATACCCTCTTTGCATCGCGAACTGCCTTATATTCTCTAGCCATGCATGCGCTACTGTCTCTCGTCCTCTCGGGGGCCGCCATGGCCGCCACTCTCAACAATCCGCTGCGAAAGCGCGCCGAGTGCGGGCCCGGAATTGGGTCCTGCGCTCCGGGTGAATGTTGTAGTGAGGCCGGCTGGTGTGGAACGACGGAAGAATATTGCGGCGGCTCGCAATGCCAGCTCGAATACAGCGACTCTTGCGATACCTTGTAAGTCCATTGGAACGTCGGACGGCGCTCGCCATGCGCCGCACATTGCTAACACGTCCCTGGCAGCTTCCCGCCTCCCGGCGCCAGCACGGAGAGCATCTCCCGTACCCTTGTGGGATCCGTGCCTTATGGTGTGTTCATCTGCTTATGCATCGTGGAACGGATCTAACATGCATGATCTCTTAGGCTCAATCATCACCACTTGCGCCAACCCAGGGTCCTTGGCATTGACCTTTGATGATGGCCCTTACATCTACACATCCCAACTCCTTGATCTTCTCGAGGCCCAGAACGTCACCGCCACCTTCTTCGTCGCAGGCAACAACATCGGCAAGAAGCGCATAGACGACGCCACTACACCATGGCCCGCCATCTTGCGTCGGATGTATGGCCTCGGCCACCAGATTGCTAGCCATACCTGGACCCACCGCAACTTGAACGAGGTCAACAGCACTATCCAGAGGACGGAAATCATCTACAATGAGATGGCGTTCCGAAACCTCTTCGGCTGGATTCCAACCTATATGCGCCCCCCATTCCTTGAGTGCAACGCTGGCTCGGGCTGTCAAACTTTGATGAGAACTCTAGGGTATCATATCATCAATGTCAACGTGGATACCAAGGACTACGAGAACGATTCTCCGACCTTGATCCAGGTTAGCAAGGACCGCTTCTCCAATGGGGTCTCGACAAACGCGGCCGCTAATAGCTATATCGAGCTGTCCCATGATGTCCACTATCAAACTGTGGTCAACCTGACCCAGTTTATGATTGACACTGCAAAGGAGCGTGGCTACCGTCTGGTGACCGTGGGCGAGTGCCTCAATGATCCCAGGGAGAACTGGTACCGCACAGCTGGTGGCGCACTTAGCACCGGAAGCACAGCCTCGACCACGGCGTCTCGCGCCACTGCGTCCTCTACCCTGATCGTGTCTTCTCGAGCGTCAACATCCTCCGCTCCTGCGGCTACGGGCAATGTTTCGCCGGACCAAACCTGCGGTGGCACCACTGGTTACACATGCTTGAACTCTGCGTTCGGAAACTGCTGCTCTTATTATGGATTCTGGTAAGACCCCCGGGAACATTTGACGCAATGAAGGATACAGCTGACGATACTGCCCCATTACACAGCGGCTCCAGCCTGTCATACTGCGGAACCGGCTGCCAATCGGGCTTCGGATCCTGCTCACCTCCATCTTCCGGCGTGAGCGACACGACCAACGGTCTCTGCGGCAGCGATTTCAATGCCACGTGCAAGAACAACGGTGATAAGACCTGCTGCTCGCAATATGGCTTCTGGTAAGTCATTCTCCCATATCACCTCTTCCCCAGCTTTCCTGTTCCACGGGCATGGTTCATCCGATGGCGATCATATGGAAAAACTTGATATACTGACGAGAATGTAACCAGTGGTAACACTGACACGCACTGCGGAACTGGCTGCCAGTCGCTTTTCGGGACCTGCAATTGATCGGGCCAGACTTGTGGTGCAGCACGTATTGCGGCCTGCACTGAACCTTGAGGCTGGCCGCCATACTCGCACAGCATGGTCGATCCTCGGGCACCCTCGTCGGCTTCCAGGGTTTCTACTCAAGCCATTTCATTTGCAATCTGTCAATCAGGAATGACAACGAACATGAGGGGCAACGTCAAAAACCTTGATTAATTATGTTTTGTTTTTGTTTTCGGGCAGGCGGGCGAAGAAACCGTTAGCATCTCAACGTGCGTCTGCCTATTGACAGCCAAGTCGGCGTCGGACGCATTGCGACCTGTCTAACCTTTCCCACCTACCTTTATGATCTCTACGGCCGAGACGATGGATAAAGACGCAGCTGCAACGCAAGTGCATCGCGGCAAAAGCGTTGGAAATAGTTTAATGTTAACACCTAATCGTGAGCGATTATGTCTCAACCTATTTTGCGACATTTCAACGGCCGGTCTCGTGCTCCTAATGCTTGTCTATGTCTTTGTTTCGCCGCCGCCCGCAGCTGACCAGGCCCCGTGCCAGGTCGGCCCCCTCCGAATTGTCTTGGGTCGCAAGGCAGGCTACAACGTTTTTTCTTCGTGGCTACCTTCCAGATACGAGGAGGCCCGAGATGTCTTGTGCGTAGCATCGGAGAAACGCAATTCTCGTGATCATTTTGGTGATGCTTCAAGAGGGACCACGCTCATATCGCAGTGGCACCATCGCGGCAGGACATGCCCCGAAAACCGGTGTTTACAATTTGCCTCGGTCAGCAAAAAGTTTTCTGGAATTTCGGCGATGCGCTACGACGTATGACGAGCTTTCGTGGTGCCGAGACTCTAGCGATCTGCGATGGTTGGGATGAGGGGGTCTGGCAGCCCTCGTGCGGCACTCGTCTCGGCCTGCCAAGGCACGGCAAAGGTTTCTGTCTCCCAAGACTTTACCCGAGCTTACAGCTTACGTGGGCATTGGATGGCATACGCAGTCAGCAATGAAGCGAAGAACGCCAAAAAAGCTTCACCCACACGCACGGCGGCGAGGTTATTACTCGAATGGGAGATACGGCGAGAGGGAAATGGATCTGTGCGGCAGAAACAGCTGTGCAGTGGGCTTAGACAAGGCGGTCGAAGTTGTTACCAAGCTGCCTCTGTCGACAAGGGCCTCGTTCGTAAGCCCAAGGATCCTGAATCGTGACGCATTTCTCTCACATCGACTTGTGGAATTCGATCATGTACCCTTGAGGGGCAGCTGAACTGCTGAATAAACTCCGCCAGGCCGTGCTCTTCTGTGGTGCTAGCGCCCAGCTAAGTGGGTTGGCCAGCAGCGAGCTAGTGCCGTCGAGCTAACAGAGCTCATCTTATTTTTGGGATCATGTTAGCAGCACAACTTGCGCGGTAGAACATCTGTCATTCGATCTTTTGGATGGTCCGGAATTTGGGATGCGATGCACACGCAAGTTCGGGACTAAACCAACCCCGTGCTGGGTTGACATGCGACGAGATGACACTGCGAAGGTGCGCCTCGATGGTCGACATGGGGGCGAAAAAGACGTGTCGCACCGTAGCATTTCGTGGGGGAAATTCGATAGTGTGCCGACCAGCAGACTGCAGCGGCGAATACTATGCTTAGATTAGGCAGTAGTACACCATATGATGAGGCAAACAAACAGGATGGACAACGTGGTTAATGGCCAAGGATGAAGGTGCGAGGTACGTTGCATACACGAAAGCCTCTTCTGTGCCATTCACAGTCCTGTGTCTCCGGACGAAGTGTGCGGTCTTCTTCCCTAGCGCGGAACGTCCCTCCCATCTTACCTCAACGTCAAGCTCAGTGCGAGAAATTGTCGAATGGCACCACTGGCTGGTCGCTGAGGACCCCGGTCCCCGAGGTGCCAAGCGTGCGTAACCTTGGAAAAGAAGGTCCCGGCTACTGCAGGAACTGGGATGCCGCGTGCCTAGCGCCGCGCCAACTCTCATCGGGGGTCGAAGTGGGGCCGCTTCTGCCGCCGCCGCTAGCACTGGAAGTCGGGCGTCTTGGACCCACCCCTCCGAGTCCAATTCCCCGCGACCTGTAACCCCGGCCAATCACTATCGGGGTAAACGGATATATACATAGTTGCAAACTTGCATCGGGGCATTTTATGACGGTTAAGCAAGAGAAAGCAAGGGGAGGGGCGTGTGCATCTCCCTTCCCGTCCCCTCCACCTCTCCCTCCGGGTTCTCCTCTCCTCTCCTCCTCGTTCCACCGTCGCCACCCTCTCACACACCGCAACCCACTCCCCCTCCTTCAGCCTTCTGGCCCCTTGCTACTATGAGGTTGTCGATGTGTTTCTCACCATCAATCCTCATCGCAACGACCATGCAAGCCTCTTCCGCATCTCTCTCTTCCGCCCCGCTTTCCATCTCTCACCCTCCCACGGGGGCTAGAGTCCGCCTCATCCATCATCCAGTCGCACAATCCATCCAGGCTGAAAAGCTGGGTCCTGGGGATTGACGCCTGTGATGCGACTCCATATTCTCCCCTCACCCATGTCCAAAGGACCTTACTACAACGCCCACCGATGGTGTGATGAACCTGGAGCGTTAACGCCACAGCCTTTTCTTCTTACGCGCCTAGCAAGGAGAGACTGATACGGGCCACAACGACCGCAACCGCACGTCCTCAACGCACCTACCGCTGGAACCTCTTGGCTTACCAGCAAACCGCCATCTGTGTCAGAGGGGGCAACAAAAGCTTCCATTTTCGAAGCAATGCCCTCCCCTTACCCCGACTGCTACTACTCAGGGGCTGCAATCAACCGCAGAAGAAAGCGTTTCCAACCGGTGATTTCCCAAACGAGAAGCGACGGCACGGAAAAGGATATGGTTGAAAAGAAGGGTCCTCTTGGCAATTTGGATATCATTCATCGATGCAATGGTTTTCCCGGGGCCTGGCTGCTATCCCTCAACAACACCAGGCAAACGTTGGCAAGCCAGATCTTGCGGTGGAAGGGATGATTCAGCGGTCTGAACTCGAGTACCAAGTAGGAGGAGGCTCGAGGCAAGCGTTGAGAGCGAGCCCACACAACCAATTGTGTCGTTCATCCTGTCTCATCCAGTCATCCGAAGTACTTGTCGGCCGTCGAGAACCACGAGTGCAGTGTTGGCAGCATTGGCTTGATCCCACAGACATTAGGCCGCGCCGCTATACATGCCGCAACCATGTACGAGACGCACGATGTCGTTCGCCCGGAGTTTTCGGTCAGCGTCCGCGTACAGAGACAGCTAGAGCGAAGACGCGCATCTACCTAAAGCACACAGAGGAAATGCACAATTGTGTGTGCCTGAGTGAAGGCGTTGACGGACCTGCCTTGCCCTGGCCTGCTGAAGCCTGTCTGTCCTCTCATCGACAGCCCAGATTCTAAGCTTACTTGCGTGCGGAGGCCATCCACTTGCATGGGCAGGGACCGTACCACGTCTTTTGGTGCCCACTCTTGCAGCCTACGAACCCACGAACACGGGCTTGGCAGGCCGGGGTTTGATCTGATTTGATCCGATTCACAGCTCACTGCTGCAGCAACCATCAGCGATTCGACCGTCCAGTCGCCGCCCCAAAGACTTACTTTGCCCCGCCGATGCAGTATTGTCTTGTTCTCGGAAAGAGGTTGGTTGTCTTTGCCTCTAGAGGGAGCAGCCTAGTCACCAAGCTCAACCCAACCGAACCCAGCCAACGCTTTCTCGCAGCCTATCCATCTGCGGCTGTTTTGTTTCCTTCGCCCCCGTCGTTCTCGAAGCGAAGATCACCCGCGAACACGGGGGCCAAGGACCCCAAATGGCCTTTGTGGCATGTGTGGTAGCCCCCAGGGACCCAATCCGCGCGCTCACGCCCAAAATATCTCTCGTAGCTGCACGAAGGCTGCACTTCACAACTTCAGCAAGCAGCGGTGTCCTGAAGTTGAAACTGACGTGTATATTGGACAGGGGTGTCAGCGGAGAGCTTCACCGCGCTAAGTTCCTAGGGCCGGATCATCACCAGTCGACCACCCACCCCCGGTCGAAACGGACGCCGTTCCCTTGTCTTGCTTAGCGAGCGGCTCCCGTCTTGAACGTCGTACCGGCCGTGCATCTCTTGCTGCGCCATCTGCGCGCCTCTTCTTCTTTGGTGTGTATGCCTGTGCGGTATGATGTTTCTTTTTATTCCGAATTTGCTGCTTGCCTGGGGTTCTCTCCTGCTTCTATACTGCGCCATACCAAATGTCGACGTTTGACGACGCCACATGTCCCCTCGGATCACGCCGATCCTTATTCTGGACGTCTTGTGAGCGAATTGGTCCTTTTCCAATATCGCACACAATGCAGAGTGACGGGCTTTGTACCGCCCGTATACAGGCTGCCGCCTGATGGCGATCATGGCGTTTCTCGGATTCAAGCGAATCTAGCGGACAACATCAGCGGCGGCAACAGCTCAGCTCAGGGAGTCACGGAGGAGACTTTACTACTATTGAGCCAAGGAGACTCGGCGTAGGACCCAGGGGGGTCCTGAAGTGAACCATCAAACCATCCACCTGCAGCCGCCGTTGTGCGTGCTGCTGCTGCTGCTGTTGAAGCCTTTTCTTTTTGGACATGG